ATAATGATGATAGATATATTACAATATTACCTAATTTTGAGCAAATAGTAAGTGACAACAGATTTGAAATTTGAGTACCTAAGCCAAAATATTCTCATTTACCAATTAAGTTAACAGATACCCTTTATTCTGATATCACCAACGATAAAATATTTATCGATATGATTAATAAGCGAGTAATTGAAGGAAAAGAAGAAATTGCGGAATACCAAGCTCAAATAGAAACCCCCTCTAAATAAAAATCTAGGGAGAAACTTAATTAACAATAACTTCTCCTTATCTAATCAGCATTTTTGCTTAAATATTTATTAGATAATTCTCTTTTACTAGTAGAACATCCTAATCTTTTAAAAATAACAATATGAAAAGCACATTAGAAAGAATAAAAGAATTAAATGATGAAATTGTTTCTTGCAAGGTTCATCTAGAAGAAATAGAGCAGAACCTAAAAAAGAAATTAGAAGAATTTGAAGAAGTCAAAAAACAGTTAGAAGCAGAAAAACAAAGTAAAAATATTATTGAATCAGAAAATCAAAAGCTTAAAGAAAGAATTAAAGAGTTAGAGAAAATCAATACTCAACTTACCTCGCAAATAGAAATTCCTCCTAAATAATCTTTACCAAAACACAATTCTTTTACTTTTCAGTATAAATTCTACTAAACCCAAAAAAACTCCCTAATTTTAGATTATTTAGTTCTAGAGTACTTTTAAAATTAATAATATAATAAACTAAGTGAAAATATACTCTTACTAATACTCTTTAACTCTTATGAATAGCTCTAATATCTTGTTAGGTTTAAGTAATAAATAACTAAATAACTTCATCGCTAGATGCTAAAATATTAATGCTTTCAAAGCTAGACAGAACCAATTTTTTTTATAAATTTTTTCCATCCGCAGATTCCCCTACGGATACCTTGTTACGACTTAACCCCAATTGCCAATCCTACCCTTGTCAGCTGTATCCCTTGCGGGTTAATCAACTGGTTTTAGGCATTACCGACTTTCGTGATTTGACGGGCGGTGTGTACAAGACTCGAGAACGTATTCACCGTAACATGGCTGATTTACGATTACTAGCAATTCCACCTTCATGGAGGCGAGTTGCAGCCTCCAATCTGAACTGCGGTTAGTTTTTTGAGATTAGCTCCCCCTCGCGGGTTGGCAACCCTTTGTCCTAACCATTGTAGCACGTGTGTCGCCCAAGGCATAAG